CAGTTTTGTCCATCAATCTCCAAGATCCAGGGCAATACTGGAAATCTGGTCCGGTTCAAAGATTCAATTAATCCTACACTGTATGTGCCTAGGGTCTCACCCTGGCAGCTGAGACAGGCCACCCCAACATTTGGTAGCACACCAGTATTAGCCTTGACAGGATAAATCTCCCCAGGCTTAACCAACAGCTATGAAAATTATAAACTAACATGAATCTCATAAGTCTCTAGTTTAAGGGTATTACACAGAAACACACCAAAGGAACATGAATCAAATATGTATTTTATTCATTTACAATAAATTCATAATGTACATCATTCTAATTAGAGATAAGAACATATAACTGTCTAACAGGTTTTTCTCAGGCCGAACATATTGCAATAAGCTCTCCCTATTAATCTCTTTTCCTCCATTTTAATTTATTGAGTTCATTCGTATACTTGCCGCAACCGGAATCTGGCCAGGAATTGACTGCGCTGGTGATGAAGTTATGCTGAACCGGCTCCTGTAATCTCCTGTTGCCTATTTAAATCTCCTGTTGGTTTGTTCCCTTTTGTTTATGATAATCCTGCCTATTATGCATATAGATGCGAGTTTGTCTCCTTGAATTGTTTCTTTGAATATTAAGTCCTGATTAAGAAAAGGAAGATAACGAATTGCATATTCTACTGTGTCTTTTTATGTTTTAAGTTGTATTTAGGATATGTTCGGATGTGGGGTTTCACAACTTTCTATAAGTTGGTGGTAACACTAAACATTGTGTTTTGTGGAGGTTTCAGCTCAATAGAATAGGTGTGCTTGAATGGAGAAGGTTGCTGGTTTTAACCTTATTAAACTTTGAGAAGGGATCCCGGACCTTCTTGTTGTTTCGTAGGTAGAATGAGGACGGTCAGCGTGGAGCTGGCTGTAATAACCCTAGATAAATAATAATAATCAGGAAATAAAAAGAGGGAAAGGGAAAATTCAGGTAAGGACGGATGACAAGGGGAAAAACAAGTTGTTGAAAGTTAAATAGCAATGAAAATGAAATAAAAATAAAATAAAAATATAAAAATAATAATTAAAAATAAAAAATAAAAAATAATAATAGCAAATAAATAATAAAAAGTAAAAAAGATAAATATAAAATAATAAGAAAATATAATAATAATTAGGGAAATTCTCTTGTTATGTTTTGTTCTTTATTTGTTCTCCTTTATTGTGCTCTTAGCGAGTTGAATAATTGTTTATTTTTATATTTGTGACTATGCTTGTCAGGGTATATCATGTGGGTCCCACCTATTAGACCCAGGAAAGGGGCACCTAACCCCTTCCCTCTCCCATCTGAGTTTTACTTGGATTGGTTTGGCTGGTGCTTTAGGTTTGGAGTCATTAGTAAACCAAAAAAATGCTTTCCAATGAAAATCTCGGAGGTCCCATCACCTCCCTTTGTTCATTAATTGATGAGTGGCGATTTCAAATCCAATCCAAGTGAACCATTTCATGACGCTCATAATAAAATTTGTTTCCATAGTCATAAACCAAAACATCTATAAGAGTCCTTATCTCGTGACCACAAGATGTTGTATACAGCATCCTACAGCTGCACACATTGAGGATATTTCTTATACTATTTGTTGTCATTCATGTAGAGATGTTTCCCAATTTGGGGCTATGGTGCCTTGTACATAGAATTTGGACAGCATTTTGTGGTTAGCAGATTCGAGCTCTATTTATAATGCATGTAGCCATGTCACCAGTATTTCGAGTTCCATGCAAAATCTATACTATAAAAAGTTGTTTCTTTTGCTTAGTTTCTATGCAGGTCATAGAAGTTAAATCAAAGTATCATATCGTATTTGTTAATAAAGTCCCTATCTCGTGGAAATCACAATTTTTCATATATAGGACAAGTGAAAAAAACCTCAACCTCAAATTTCATGGGACCCTATGGACCCGGTATCATAAAGTAAAATGCATATCAATACAAGGGGAATTGTGTGGTCACAGTTCATCCCTATACTAGCATTTTGCATGTTGATCCTCTTATCTTTACTTGAACACATGCATAGTACATACCATTACATTAATAATTAATGAATGAAAAGGGGGAGAATCAACCTAATCACTCAGCATAAACCAGGTTTCCTTTGTTGGTTAGTTTGGGTTAGTATAGTGGGGCTACAGTTGTATTTGATATTTCTACCTGAAATGTTTTTTTTGAAGGTTTAAAGTATATTTCATTCATTTAAGAAATTGATATAAGTATAGAGAATTGCCAACAAGGTCGATCAGAACCCATATACAATTTCTCAAGAAGAATAAAATATATAAATGAATGAAGGAGAACATAATGAACTTTTGCAATCAAACAAAGGTGAACTAAATCACCAACAGAAGTAAATAAGCCCAACTCCAATCCACCACAAACGGCGAAAGAAATGACAAGAGAGGTTCCCAAAAGAGACTGCAAAGAGCCGGTAATAGGATGGTTGGGATAGATCCACAAAAGACGGCAAATCCCAAACATTGCAACTGTTACCAGAGACTGTAACTGCCTTCCACAACTACATCCGCCAAAAAATTGTGAACAGAACTGACCATGAATTGCATCTGTCGAAGAACCGTGAATGGGCTTTACCATGGACGGAAAAAGCAACACCACTAGTATCGATTGCCCAATACAGGATCCATGAAAAAGTAACCTGCTTGTCAAAACACCTGCAAAAAGAAGAAAAAAAAAGCACAAAAATAGGCAAATAATGAAGAGAACCAAATGGTTAAGGTGAGGGAAATAGATGGGAGGAAGAATGGAGAGATCGAGGGAAGGGGGACTCCTCGAAGGGAGCCACCCCAAAAGAAAATTTTAGGAGGGAACGTGGACGGCAAACAAAGAGATGAAAGAAACCTCGAGAAACTTGAGAGGGAAGATCTCTCTAAACAGAGAGAGAATGAACAATTTTCTTACCTGAAATATTTTAAATTGATCGATACAAATTGGTGAGAGATATGTATTATCACATCAAATGTGAGAGTTATTTTAACTAGAATGATTAGGCTTCAAGTTCAATCCCCTAGAGGAAGAAACACTTACTAAGTTCAACGCCCAAGTTGCATTCCTACCAATAGACCACAAACAACCAACCGAATTTAGACTAAAGCTGTAGTACAATACCAACCTCCTTATAAAACTGATCAGAACAACAATCAACTTGATAAATACTTTGAATCTTTAATCAATTTATGTTAATAAAATGTGACATCAAGGTTCAAATATCATTAAGAGTTTCATTCAATCGAAACTCTTTTTTTTTTCTTTTTTCCTTCTTTTTATCTCTATATTAATAGAATTGCCACGTCATGTTTTAGAACAATTAAAATCCACTTGTGACATTTTCAAATATGTGGATTTGTAACACTCATAATTGATCCAAACACTAGAAGTAATTCATAGATTATTGGTTTGGCTGACGTTTTGAGTGTCTTTTATTTTTTTCATCCCCAAATACAAAAAAGTTACAGCTCTTTGAGTTTTGTCCACTCCTGCTACCAAACTCGGGCGTGTTAACTACAAAAATGCCACCTACGTGCTCACCGGACACTACCCACACATTAAAAATATCTTTCCATGAATAATAATTGAGATGTTTGAGATGTTACCGATGTACAGCTGAAATGTTCCCAACTCCTAAGTACCCTAAACCCTAAACATTGAAAATATCTGCCCATGACAACTGAGATATTTGAGATGTTCATGTTGAAATGTCAATAGAATTCAAATATGCACCCCACTGCCGTGCGCCCCACGAATGTCCCATACAACAGGATTGCGCCACATGTTCAGATGCACGATTTCGTGCTTCCCGCATGCAGGGCTATAACAGGATGGCCGTTAGCTCCAAAATAAGCTGAAACCCATATTCCTGCTCCCACCCTCACTCCGAGACTAGAGCTTGAGATCCAAGTTAGGATTCAGCTCCCTCTCCGATACCGGCGAGCGCTCTGGCCACTTCACCATCGCGAGGTGCTCTCCAACTCTCTCTTTTGTTTTACACTCTTTTAGGGTTTGATTTTATTTGACATTTTCTTTTTTTTTTCATTTTAAGACAGAAGGAGAGTTTAATCATCCACCACCGGCCATCTCCGGCAAACACCAGCTATCAAATGGTGCGTTTTTCTTTTCTCGCTTTTTTAGGGTTTAATTTTATTTGATATTTTCTTTTTTTTTTTTTATTTGAAGACAGAGGAGAAGAGTTTAATCATCCACTACCGACACCAGTCTACTCCCTCCATCCGATCTCGGATTCAGCTCCCTCTTTACCAGTAGACTCTTGGATACATTCGAAGATGTTAGAAATCAATAAAAAAGAGGTGATTTGTTGTACTTAACATGTACTGAACTTTCTGTTGGTAAAGAAAAGTGGGGTATGCTGATAAAAGGGGGAAAATACTAATCCTGTTTCAATCACTGTGACAGGAAACATGTCTGGGTTTTCATAGTCTTAGATTATATGCATTTGTCGGTGATCACCGGAGATGACCGGTGGTGGATGATTAAACTCCCCTTCTCTGTCTTGAAATGAAAAAAAAAATGTTAAATAAAATCAAACCCTAAAAAAGTGTAAAAATATGAAAGAGTTGGAGAGCACCTCACGACGGTGAAGTAGTCGGAGCCCTCACCGATACCGAAGTGGGAACTGAATCCGAGCTCGGATGGATGGAGTAGAACGGGGTTCAAGGGGTTCTTGCTTCTCAGGCTCGAGTCTCGGAGTGAGGGCGGGAGCAGGAATAGTGAATATGGGGTTTGAGCTTGTTTTGGAGCTAACGGGACAAGTTAATGGCCGTTCCGTTAGCCCTGCACGCGGGATAGACATGTGGTGCACTCCTGTTGTGTGGAGGAACAGATTTGAACTTCTTCATCAATATGTTCCCATATTTTTTTGAGCTAACGGGATAAATTTATCTTCTTATCAAATAGACTTTTAGCTGTAATGGATGCAAACATGAATTTTAATAAACCATAATCTTTTTTATCAAAAGTTCACTTTAATACAAATTTATTCTTTTTTATTATACTTTTGAATATGCATTGGTCTGTCATTTATCAGTGCATAAATATAATATTGTTAAACACATGCAAAAATGAATCAGAGTGCAAATTAACCTTAACCAGGATTTACACTCCATTTGCATCTTTTATGAGCACAGCCTAATTCTCCCATATAAAGGGAATTCAATTATTTAAATTAAACTAGATAATGATCTCCATTCTCCCATACATAATATAGGGAACTATTTTGTTTGACACCATTATTTATGTATTGTAAATTTTTGTTATATTTTTTATTTGATATTTTTTTTGTGAAGGATTTTTTTATAGATAGGTTTTTCATTTGATTTAAAAGATTAAATTATAATACCTTTTTCAAATTTGATTTTGTTGGGCAAGTCACTAATGATCATTACATACCGTTAAAGATCAACTTTTATTATTGTTACTATTTTTTTGGTATTGGTGTAAGTACATATATTGTGTACATGTATAAGGGTAAAGATATAATAATAAAATTTAATTTGTATGACCTGCAATAGTGTTATGGGCCCGCGCGTAGGATTTCATTACGGGTCGGTTCACGGGGAGAAAGCCCTACTTTCCCTTGCGTGCTCCCTTGTGTGTAGAACCTATTATGGAAAACCGAATGGGTGATTTGTCCAAGAGACCACCCGAACTCTCCTAATGGGTGATTTGTCCAAGAGACCACTCGAACTCTCCTTACTCTTCTCTTGACTAGGAAAATTGAATGTCTTTATTTCAATTCGTGGCTCCTTAAATAGGAGATTACAAGAGGAGACATTCGACTAAGTTAGGACAATCAAACTCCTACTTTTAACAGACTTCTAACAACACTCAGTTCTTATCTCTAATAGATAAGAACAAAACTAGATAAGAATAGAACTCCTACTAAAAAGATAAGATAAGATGAGATGAGGATAAGGGATGAGCAATGGACTAGTTGGCGGCGAGTTGGCGAGCAGAGCTGACGTGGTTAGATAAGTGTGGACCCACCTTGATGAGTTGTCATGTGGGTTCCGCCTTACTATTGCTATTGGGCGGCGCGCGTGTCATAGTGTTGCTGCCGTGTGGTGCGTGCCGCTGCCGTGCGGTGCGTGCTGCTGCTTAGTGCTGTTGCCGTGTGGTGTGTGCTGCGCGTAGCCGGGCGGTGTGTGCTGCTGTGCGCGTTGTCGGGTGGTGCGTGCTGCACACTGCCAGGCGGTGCGTGCGGCACGCTGCCGGGCGGTGCGTGCTGCTGCCTATGACTGTGCCGTAGTGTGCTGCCGGGTGGTGTGTCCATAACATCACAGCCCTCTCGGACTACGAGCTTGTCCTCAAGCTTGAATCGGGTGTTGAAAACACTCTCAAAGGAATCCTGGGTGGCTTTGCCCTCCTGGATCGGGTTCCCATGGAGGGGGTTCATCCTAATCTTCCTCTTATTTCACCAGGAGGCAGAAAAGTCTCTTGCACCTGTGCTTCGTTGAGTAGACTTCATCGCAATTAAAACATTGCCCCCTCACCCTGCATTCTGCCATCTTAGCCCTGGACAAGTGCTTAATAGGGGGTGTACCGCCGCTGCTCCCCACATTGGATGCTGAACTGGAATTGGTGCTCGTTTGTGGCTTCCGTTCTGGGCTGGTTGCTGGATATGGAGCCATTCCGAGTGGTTCCCTGTTGGCTGCCAGCGAAGACCCTCCTCTAGTAGGCTTCGGGTTTGTCCAAGCCGCTGCTGGGCATCCCATGCTGAACGGCCCTCGGCTAATCTGCAGTTTGCGCTCGAAGGCTCGGGCTAAATTCATTGTCGTGACCAGGTTAGGCGGGCTCTGCATCTCTTCTTCAACTCTTAGGGGTTCGGCTAGATCAGCTGTGAACATATCCACCTGTTGGTTTGGGCATACTGAAGAGGCCTTGGCGAGAAGGGTTTGGAACTACCGCTGATACTCTGCTATGGTACCGGTTTGCTTGAGATTAATGAGTTCCCCTAAGGGGTTTTTTGTTAGTGGGGGTCCGAACTGAAGGAGGCAGTACGACTTGAACTGCCCCCAACTAAGACCTGGCTCCTCCTACTCCACTCAGTAGAACCAGAGCTGCGCTTCTTCGGTCAGGTGGAACGCGGCCAAACTGACATTGTCCCTGTCATCGGTGCGCTGGTTGCAGAAGAACTGTTCGCAGCGGTGCAACCATCCCAGTGGATCTCCAGCGCCATTGTAGGATGGAAATTCCAGCCGCCTATACTTGGGAATAACAGCGGCTGTTGTGGCAGCGATCTGTTGTTCACTGGACGTCTCCACCCCGTCCGGACGATGACTGTTGGTGGTGGCGGTTCCCTCAGAGCTTCTTTCTTTGTTGGAGAGGAACGCTTCCAGCAGGCGTCGCAGCTCCCAGACATCATCCTTGACCTCACGAACTTCCAAGCAGGTTTCGGCGAGCCTATGCTCTTGCTCGTGGACCCTGGAAGACAGCAGCTCCTGTTCCCCCATGACGGTAGGCTTTGATACCAGAATGTTATGGGCCCGCGCGTAGGATCTCGTCACGGGTCGGTCCATGGGGAGAAAGCCCTGCTTTCCCTTGCGTGCTCCTTTGTGTGCAGAACCTATTGTGGAAAACCGAACGGGTGATTTGTCCAAGAGACCACCCGAACTCTCCTTACTCTTCTCTTGACTAGGAAAACTGAATGCCTTTATTTCAATTCGTGGCTCCTTAAATAGGAGATTACAAGAGGAGACATTCGACTAAGCTAGGACAATCCAACTTTAAATCAAACTCTTACTTCTAACAGACTTTTAACAGCACTCAGTTCTTATCTCTAATAGATAAGAACAAAACTAGATAAGTAAGAACAGAACTCCTACTAAGAAGATAAAATAAGATGAAATGAGGATAAGGGATGAGGAATGGACTAGCTGGCGACGAGTTGGCGAGCAGAGCTAACGTGGTTAGATAAGTGCGGACCCACCCTGATGAGCTATCGTGTGGGTCCCGCCCTACTGCTGCTATAGGGCGGTGCACGTGTCTCACAGTGCTACTGCCTTGTGGTGCGTGTTGCTACCGTGCGATGCGTGCTGCTACCCAATGTTGTTGCTGTGCGGCACGTGCTGTTGCTTAGTGCTTTTGTTGTGCGGTGCGTGCTGCGCGCAGCCGGGCGGTGCGTGCTGCTGTGTGCGCTGCCGGGCTGCTGTGTAACACTGCCGGGCGATGCGTGCTGCTGCCTATGACTGCGCCGCAGTGCGCTGTCGGGTGATGTATCCATAACAAAGAACCAGGGAAAGTATCCCTTTATATATAAATAGATTACCATATACACTACTAGGGATTTAGGTTGTGGACAAATTAGGATCCATGTCATTAGGTTCAAAGGATCAATAAATATCATGGCATATTGTACAATATGTATCTATCTTTTACCCACCGATATACCAATTATAGCTATGGAGGGTTTACATGTTTAATCATTAGAACCCATCCCTTACCAAACCCTGAAACCATGTACAAGAAGAGACAGGATCTGTTACTCACAGACGGCGCCAAGAATTAGGGCAGTACACACGTCAGGCCGGTCTGGTTACTAGTGTTTTAGCCAACCAAATTAGTGAATAGGTAAACTGAAATCGGTTGACTTAAGAAAAAACTGACCCAACCATGAAGGATCAATTTGGGTAAATTTCTCAGTTTGATCGGGTCAGTCTAGTAGCCATGCCCACTCTCCTTAAGCCCAACTTTTTAGGCCTGATAATTGGGACATTTTGGGCCATGCCCACTCTTTTTTTAACCCAACTTTTTAGGCCTGATAATTGGGACATTTTGGGCCATGCCCACTCTTTTTTTAACCCAAATTTTCATGTTTCTAAAAATTTTAAAAATTTAAAATATACTATATTATATATAACATTAATATATGTCTATAGCCAGTTTTAGTCAGCCACACATGTTCAAACAAAAACCGACTGCTATTTAAAAATCCCATCAAACGCAATTTGAGTTGGGTCGAGTTGGCCAGTATGGTTGGTTTGACCGAAATCATGAACAGCCCCAACTAGAATAACTAAAATAAGTACAAACATGTGAAATGTCATTTTGAACCTTTCATGTGAGGCCCATTAGATAATATTGTTGAGATTGAGAACTTCTGGTTCTAGGGAGTCGATCCTATTCCTTTGCAAAAAGTATGTCAACAGTTGATGGTGAGCATCTCAACAATTGATTTTTTTTTCTTTCAAAAAGTATGTAACTTAGTGAGGAAGTAACCTCAATTGTTCAAAATTTCTTTAGCAAAATCTTTTGAAAGAGATGAATCGCACGCACCAATCTTATCTTCCCTAAGAAGGTTGGAGCTGAATCAACTATAACCATTATTCATAGGCCAATTGTTCTCTACAATGTTTTAAATAAAATTGTTGCAAAGGTGTTAGCCAATAGAATGAAATCCTTGTTGTCAAAACTAATTCTACAAAATGAAGGTGCGGAAGGCATATCCTTGAAGGTGCAGAGATGAGATGGAATTTTACAAAATGTTGTCAAAATGAAGGTGCAGAGATAAGCAGCTCTCAAATAGATATAGCAAATAAAG